TGATTAATTTGAAGATTTAATCGATTAAATCTTCAAGTCAATCATTTTTGTCAGTTTTGACCATTTAATCGATTAAATCTTCAAGTTAATCGATTAAAGAATGGCAGATTAGTAGATAGTTTTGAATAAAGGACAAAATAATTATTAATTAATTAATAAAGAATAAAATGGTCAAAAAGCCAACAGTTTGATATCATATATTTACTCAAAACCTTAAGGCATAGATTCTATTTATACAGTTTTTCTCACTTAAATCATTTCTATCTGACGTGGGACTTTTTGTTCACACTTTAATTTCATTTCCAATGTTTTATTTTATTTTCATTAAGGATTATATGTTAGGTAAAATATCACTTTCCTTTGCAAAACATGTACCAGACACCTCTTTAAATGCCTTCACATTTTGTTCCATCAAAAAGTAAAAATTTGAACTAGAATATTTATTCGAAAAATACTTCATTTGATTTTACCTAATGAATTGTTTATAACAATTTTTTATTTTGCTTTGGATTGTTGTTGGATTTATTTTTTTCTGTCCTGGTAGTAATGTAGAGTTTGTTAACTACTGACTCGTTTTCCGTTGACTTGTTGTACCTTTGTAGACCATTGAAACGGGTTAATGATGGAATTTCTTCATATTCTTAAACAATATTGGGAGTAAATTCTTTTATGTGAAAAAGTGATCATATTATTTAATCACTCATTTAAAAATTATTCTCTCTCTTATCTCATCATCAATGAGTGATTGTGATCAAATAACATGACCACATAATTAATTTTTCACATGAGAGAATCTACTCCCAGTAATATTATAGTCCAAGCTCTCTGTTTCTGTATTTATGTTCTAATTTGAAATTTGTGTCAATGTAAACCTCCAGTTACATGTATTCCAGTTCAGTCTGGAAAGACGTTATCCACTTTCCTTTCTTAAATTGATGAACTGAGTTAGTGTTGTATGCCACCTGGTATTGTTCTGAGGGGAATTATTTCTCTGATCCCTCTCTCTCTCCCTCTTCTTCCTCTCTCTCTCCTCTCTCCTCTCTCTTCTCTCCTCTCCTCTCTCTCACAAAGGATGCATTGGGCCCGGACCTCTACATGTTTGCTCTGTTCTGAGGTGTTTGGTATGCTGACTTCATTGCTTACCTAACATGATGAGGTCTACTTGGATGTGTATATATTATATTATATATTGCATGATAAAATGTGAAGTTCATTTGTTAAATATCCATGAGCATAGGAATTGTTTCATTCAACTGGACAAGGGAGGAAGTATTAGCCCACGGTTTCCAAATTAAAAATATATGTATGTGTTGGCATGAGTTTAAACTTAAGGAAAGTTTATTTATTATAATTTTTATGCGGAGTTAATGTAGAATTTTAATTTGTAAGGATTTAATCAGAATTAAATTATTATAGTTTACGAGAGATGTCAAATTTCTTAATCTTAGATATTAAATAGAATCAATTTTAATATTATATCAGTTAAAATTTATTATTATAAATTATAGGAAAAAAATATTTACTTTAGATAACTTTGTCTAATTTTCATCGAAACGACGTCGTTTTGGGTTTGAAAAATTAAAAAATTAGAATGATAAAGACTGTTATAACCTTGAGATAAATTAAAATTACAAAAACACCATGATTTTCGTCCCAAAACTACCTTATTTCGATGAACATTAGATAAAGTTATCTAAAATAACTTTAAAAAAAAATCCCTATAATTATTAACTTCATCTTTTACATTTAGACTGATTTGTATAAGTTGTAATATCATCAAATTAGAGAATTACATTTACCAAATATCATTTTCTACATGAAACCAAATTGTTAAGAATTTAATTTTAATTATATTTATTCAACAACAAAAATAACAATTATGTTCACGTTAAAAATGTGTTTTTATAGCAAATGAAGAATTAGTCTCAACCTTCCGTCGATAGTGAAACTTAATGCACTCGTTGTTCTAATAAGAGATAACTTTCGGGACGTACTCCGAGGACAAGATGACCGAAGGAGGTTAAATAGGGAACCATCATGTTATACCAAAAAAAATATTATTATTTTTTTGGCATGTGACTAGGGATATTATATTACCAAAAACAAAACAAATCTTAAGCTCTAGATGGATTTTAATCTAGGTAATCTGATTTGAAGATTAAAAAGACAATGCAACGAGGTGAAGTGAGCCTTGTTGGATAATGGCAGCCTCCTTATTTTAATGAAACAAAAGCAAAAGATATAATATAAACATTTATATTTCATGCATCAAATGTGTACTAATGATGGTCCTAAACTAAGTCGAATAAAAGCTTTTGGCTTAGCCTCCCATCCCTCATAAATTGGAACAGTGACCATTTTGCTACGGTAAAAAAAATTACCAGACTGCCATACCAACAGTAAATTTTGCCAAAATGCCACGTGGCATATTTCGCTACTGTGTAGCGAAATATGTGTGCAAATAATTCGCTACACAGTATAACGAAATATGCCACGTCAGAATGCTCAGAATCAAAAATGTCATGTGTCAAAATTGGAGAAATTCGCTTTTGTCATTTTTGGTTCTGACGTGGCATATTTCGCTACATTGTGTAGCGAATTATTTGCACACATATTTCGCTACACAGTGTAGCGAGCTACACAGTGTAGCGAAATATGCCACGTGACATTTTAGCAAAATTTACTGTTAATGTGACAGTTTGGTAATTTTTTTGCCAACAGTGACACTTTGGTCACTGTTACTCATAAACTTCCTTGTAAATGAAATGCACCAAATATAGTTTTATTGCATAACATTAAAATCATTAATATGTCTCTAAAATTATTATCGTAAAATATAAATTTAAATAAAGAAATAAGTGATATAGCCGTGCACTTAAAAGTTTTCTGCTTAACGAAAAAAAAAAGTTTTCTAATTTCTGTTAAACTAGTTTAAATCTTTTCTTACTTCAACGATTTGCATGATATGTTTTCTTAGAAAAGAAGGGGTTCGTTTAAATGGGAATCCATTTAATACTTCTTACAGCTTTTGCCTTGCTTCAAAGCTACATTCTGAGTTTGTAACTTCAAAAATGTTATACGGGATTAGTATTTATTATATTGTAGAGGATAAAAGTGAATAACACAAGAAAGTTATGTTCAGTGACTCCCAAAATTAAGTTACAAAATATAAACAGAGGATGATTATATTTACAAACTACATTATGTCTAACCGGTAATACACTCTTGAGTAGAGTATTATCTGTCAGACATAGTGTAGTTTGTAAGTTTGTAAAAAAAAGTTTATCAATATAACCCTACTCATATAAATAATGCTTAACAACTACTTAATCCATATGCATTCGTGCCAATTATTTCTTTAGGGCCTGTTTGGTGTGACGTATAAGGCATGATAGTATAAGCTTATACTATACGTTATGACATTTTCAGTTGTTTAGTGTGACCATCGTATAGTATAAGCTTATACAGCATAATTCCTTAAGGCATGTTTGGTGCATAGTATAGGATAAGGCCTGATAGTATAAGACCTAATTGTATAAGACCTGATTAAATTTTAATACTATCCAGCGTTTGGTATGATATTGTATAAGATAATATCCTCCAATATTTTAAAAATTAATATATTACAAAAAATTATTTTAATATATAAATATTGAAATGATATATTAGTTCTTGGGAAATGTACTTGCAAGCAATATTAATACATCAATCCCTTATCATGCCTAATCCATCACTCCTATGCCGGATTAAGTTATACATCATTTTGATGTATAAAGGGGTCATGCTGTATAAGCTTATACTATACGATGGTCACACCAAACAACTGAAAATGCCATAACGTATAGTATAAGCTTATACTATCAGGCCTTATACATCACACCAAACAGGCCCTTAATACATCAAAACGATGTATAACTTAATCCGGCCTAAGGGTGAGGGATAAGACCTGATAAGAGATTGATGTATTAACATCGTTGACCAATGTAATTCTCAAAAATTAATATATTATTTTAATATTAATCTATTAAAATAAAAATTTATTTTTCAATATATTAATTTTTAAAATATTAAATTAATTTTTATAAAAATTAATTTATATTTTGGACACCCTGATCAATAAATTTTTATAAAAATTAATATCATATGACATTTTTTGAAGAATTATATAAATTCTTTATTAAAGGATATTTTTATTAAAAAATTTTAATTTTATCATATATAGTATGGGAAAAATATTTCTGCAGTTAATGCAGATAAGTTATCTGCTTTTATTTCCAAAACGACGTCGTTTTATATTGAAATCTTAAAAAATTATAAATATAAAGATTATTATAACCCTGAAATAAATTAAAATTACAAAAACACCATGATTTTCGCCCCAAAATGACGTCGTATTGGGCTTACTGCAGATAATTTATCTGCAGTAACTGCAGAAAAAGCGAACTCATATAGTATTATACAGTGCATTACCAAATACTAGATGATATTATCTTATACAATATATTATTTTATACAATACCGTGCCAAAACGCTTGATAGTATTAAAATTCAATCAGATCTTATACAATCAAGCCTTATACTATCAGGCCTTATCGTATACTATGCACCAAACATGCTCTTAATTACAATAACCAGAAGTCCTAAAGGGTCTTGATTTCCTCACAGCAGACTAATGAAAAACTTTCCACGACTTTATAATCCACTAAGGACATGTAACTCCACTGCTCGCAAATCTTCTTCAATAGTTGATGCTAAAATTATGTACCAAAAAAAAAAAGTTTATGCTAAAATTGCTTCTTCATTGTTGTTTTTTGAAACTAAACTCTTAGAAGGATTTTTTAATGTCAATAGCCCAAAATCCTAAGGGTATTGATTCCTCGCTGCAGACTAATGCAAAACTTCCCACAACTTTCAGATCCACTTACTCCGGTAGGCTAAAAGCAGGTGTCTTTGGTGTAAGGGAGAGACAACTGGGAGACAAACTCTATGCTCTTATAATACTATTATTTCCTCAAATCATAAGAACAAATGAACACACGGAAGTGTGATTATTTATATGTTGCATCTGTCATAACCGGAGAACCATGATTGTTCTGCTAATTTTGCAAGCTCACCGTCTTTTTCATTATAAAATGGCTCAAATTGATCATTAACACTGACGAGGTCCTTGGTGTCATCATTAGTGGGCATGACAAAATCATCATAAGTAGGTTGTATTGCTTCCTTAGGCAAACGTGTTTTGGCAAGGAGCTCATTAAGTGTGCTAACCTCCTTCTCATGTTTCTTCTTCAACTTATCAATTTGTTTGTAGGCCTTTGTAGCTTCCCGCTCTGCATCCATGGCCCGCTTCTGCAAATTATATAGTCATACTCAAATAGTGAAATAACCTTTATATATATATATATAATGATGGAACCCAGAAAAATACAATACTGAACTCATTAACAATGGAGGCATAGCCTCTTTTTACATACACTAATACACTATAAAATGCAGAAAATAAACCAGAAAGCCTCAACTTTCCCTCAAACCAAATACCTAGGATCAAGAGTTCCCTAGAGGTCTCTCATTTCCCCAGTAACCAATTCTGAATACATGAATAATGAAACCCCACCCTAAACATCTCTATATATACTAATTCCTAATTAATGGGCTTGGTTACTTTATTGAAGGCCCATCATATAATATCTCTGATTTATTAGATGTGTGAGCTAATAGATATAAGCACATTAATGGAAAGAGATGAGAGAGAAAATATTAGTGGGGCCTACTCGAGTGTGGCATAGAAAAAAAAATTGTAGTAAAAAGCAGAAATATTTTTTCCATATATATATATATTTAAGTATGTATATATCAGCTGCAGCAAAATATAAATGACCTGCTTCTGATAGGGTTAGCCTGTAGGATAGGTTTACAAGATGCTAGAAATTCAGTGTACAAGAGAGAGACTTCAAAATAAAAGGTAATACAGGCAAGTAATGGAAGCAATAAAGCTGGAGAGAAACTGTTTGTTTTTAGACAATGTGCATATATAAATGGAAGAAATGAAGTACACAATGCATTGGTATCATCAAATAAGATTCGTCTATTTCCCATATGCTTAAAATGAGTTTTAGCATAAAAATAAAAAAATAAAAAACAACTTCTTACTCCCTCTTTCTTCCACTTATCTTCCTTCATTTTTGGTTGTCAATCTCTTGAAAATTGAAAATAGTATAAAGGGAAACCTTTTGTTATAACCTACTGCAATAACCATTTCCCAACCCAATCAACTTATGGCCCAAGAAGCTTTGCATTCTAAGTTGCTGCCCGGCACCAACATATTTGCTCTATTACGTCACTACTAATAATATTTTAGTGTCACTCTACATTCCTTTGTCCTCAAATTTGAATAAGAAAGACATTGATGCTTGAATGCCCCAGATCCTGTCGCATGAAATAACTAAAATCATCAAAGCTTCCCTTCTTGTTTATATTTGGCATCATAGAGATTCATACTGATGGCTAACCCTCTTAATGGAAGCTACTATCCTTTTCTCGCTCTATACATAGCATGAGAATAGAAGAAACTGATGGTTTTATTTTAAAGGAACAAATGACATTGTCAATGGAACAGACAAGGAGAATACATAGGATGATGTAGTGAAGTTGGGAGATGGGTGAGGAAGAATGCTGACTAAAACAACGAGTGCTTCTCATTCAGTTGATAACAAACATTTAAAATACATAATGATTCTTTACTCACCTGCGCGGTAATGACACCTTCTTCTGCTTCTTTAAGTCGCACAAGCAGTTCACTTGCAGCTTGCACTGCATCAGCAGTATCCTTCAATTGAGCCCGAAGCCCTATATTTTCATCCCTCAGGTTTCGCCTTTCTGTTTCTCTTTCTGCTTTTAATGCTGAAATTTCTGCAGCAAGGGCATTTATGAATTTAGACTCTGCACTTCTAACTCCAGCTCTGGAAGCTGCTTTCTTGATATCATCAATTCCATCCTGGATCTTTCTATGCCTTTCAAGCAATTGGATATGCTGCTCTTCCAAATCTGCATACTGTTCTAAAATTTGTGCATGGCCTTCTATAGCCATTTGCATTGCTTCATTCAGTTCCTCAGCATTCTTCCTCTCAGCATCTAGTTCCTGCTTCCTCTTTTCAGCTAGTGATCTGTTGGCTTCAAGTTCAGCTTTCAGTTCTTCAGAAAGAGAAATCCACCTGCTTTCCGCCTCCATCCATTGACTTCTTTCCTGTTCAAGTTTTAGTTTGTCCCTGTCATCAGTTGAGAGGAAGTGCATGGCACTGGCCTCAGCGCTAGCCGCTGTGCAATCTGGAATGGCAGTGAGGTTTTCTGCCAAATGGAGTTCAGATGAATAAGGAAATTGCAATAGCGGATATTGCTTTTGTGCTGAAGTGGATGAAGAATATATATAAAAGTGAAGCTGATTTCTTAAACTACATATCTCTTCCATCAACACTTCCCTCTCCCCAAATTTGTAGAATTTCTGATACTCTTGTAGCTCATCTTGTGCTCTTTTTAACTCTATCTTCATCTTCTGAACTTCTGGATGACACTCATAGTTCTCCTTTAAAATCTGTTGAATGTTACGTAAGTCCTAAATATAACCATAAAATATAGTAATCATAAAAAGGAAACCTTAAAAGAAATTATTTCTACCTTGTGTTCATGTCTGAGGGAAACCAGCTCTTCGTCCATGAACTCTTCAGCAGGTAAAACGCCATCCATAAGGCTCTCAGGGCGAAGAATTTTATCTTCCCTTGTCTGCGCTATTATGGCACTGCATTCCCTCTCATGATTGTACTGTTGCAACTACAAATATGACTGAAAATAGTCACAACAGATGACGAAACACTGGCCACAGATGGTTGCTAGTAAACAAACCGAAACTTACCAAGCGATTGAGTTGCATTATCTCAGAAGTCTGCTTTGCACAGAACTCTTCAAGTGCCATTTCTCTCCTTATCGATCCTGCCAAAACGCTCTCCACTGCCTATAATGTTGCAAGAGAAAGAAATTATAATTAATAGATTGAATTCAAGCTATACCGGAAAATGAAGCTGAGATTCTTACACTCACTTTGAGAATGTGCTTCTTTGGCTTATCAGCAGACTGAGGGCAATCAACAGGTACTGGCTGCATATTTGAGCTACTGTCAGTCTCATTGACATCAAGCTGCATTCTGCTTTTACAGTTGTTACAGGTAAACAAAAAAGAATCTTCTTCTCTGGCCTTATCAACAAGAAAGGTCTGCACTCCCACATCAACTTTGTCCACTGGAAAAATTACTCTGGAATCTTTGGGTCTCAATGAGAGCCTCAACGATGACCGCCCCAGAGCTGCACTATGATGGTGGCTACCAATATATTCAAGACCATGGTGGATGCTTGCTGCTAAATTTTCAGTTTTAGAAAGGAAATTTGGAGCTGTCTGACTAGAAATAGCAGTACACAAGCTCTTTCGAATAACAGTTTCTGTGTCTAATTCACTTTCATTGTGAAGATTATTCTGAGAAGGAGAAAGCTTTAATGAGGTCCTCAAACTTTTCCTGCTGCTGCCGATTGTTGGTGATATATGGAGAGATGGGGATATGGGGATCGGGGACATATCACAGTGAACTATGCTGAGGCTAGCAGGGGTGTCACAATTCATTGCAGCGCTAGGAGAATCAATGGATCCATCAAGGCCTGAACAACCAGCAGAACCTGCATTGGGATTGCAAAGAACTACAGCACGATCCTCAACACCTTCCTCATCAATCTCCATCTCCTCATCACCATCATCGTCAACATGAGGTAGTGATAACGGGCGATTAAGGCTAGACTGCAATAAATTCAAACTTCTTTGGATCCAGGCTGTTGAATGACCTCCACTTCCATCACTTGGACTGTAACCATTTCCTTTAATTTGATGCAGCTCATCCTGTTTGATTGCTTACAGTTCTAAATTATTCAACACAAATTTTATGTACTGGCCAAAAGGAGAAAAAAAAAAAAAAAAAAAAAAAACCAACAAAAGATTGAACTTTGTGGAAGAGAATATACCCTGAGTTGGCGTATAACTTCTCGCAATTTGTTCACATCACCGTGCATTACTTCATTAACAATTGCTTTGTTCTTGATAGCTTTGACACGTTGTGCAAATCTCAATGTACTAAAAGTTTCACTCCTACAACTGCAGTGCTTAGTCATATCAAAAAGTCCAGAATACATAAAGAGCAAAAATAAATTCAAATCACTTGTGGATTACATATACCTTTGTGCTGGGGAAATGGCACAAACCATTGCTAATTTTGCATTTCCACCGAGAGACTCCTGTAATAAAAATGTCAACTTGGAGTCTCTGTATGGTATATGCCGCTGCTTTCCTGTCTGAGAAACTTCAGCAAGAATGTTTATCAAATTCCTGCAGCCCGATATAACCTCAGTAAGTTCTTGGAATGATGGGAAAGAGACTGTACAATTTGGCAATCAGGAAGGTATTAATATGATGAAACAAGTAATAAAAATGGTAAGAAATAGTAACTTGCAGCTTTGCATTATAGACAAGCAATTGTTGGAATGAAAGGCTTTCGGCTAAGTAGGGACTATGAGAGAGCAAATGGAATGCAATTTCAGCAAAACACAAGTTAGTAATGCTTAGGTATCTTTCATCTATCTTACAAAATGATGGGGAGATTTAAGGAATGTAACACATTGAATTAAAGATGGGTGAATGAAATGTAAAATGCTTCTGGCATTATTTGTGATAGCAAGGTGCCATCAAACTCAACAGAAAATTCTACTGGTAACAATAAGAATAGAAATTGGATTATGATAACGGATGTTGTAAATTCCAACAAGAAAGATGGAGTATAAACCTATTGATGAGAAGATGACAAAAAAGACTAGCCAAAGGTGGGTTTGTCATGAGAGGAGAAGACCAGCACAGCACCCAGCAAGAATAGGAAATGAAATGGAAGTCCAATTAAAGAGGTAGAAGAAGACCAAAGAAAAATTTAGGGGAAACCATTATAAAAGACCACTCTAAATGGATTTATTGAAAATTTGTTTTTTTATTGAGCCCAATAACATTGTTTGATCCATGTAATCAACCAAATCGGGGGACAAAACTTCTTGTTGTGGGAGTAATGAACTCTCCATATTTGCTTCTATCCTTCCCTCGCTCATGTTTCAGGGTGCCATGGTATTTAGGCGATTTCTAAGACTCGATGTGGTTTGGCAACTTCCATAAAAAACCTCAATACGACCACCATTTTACTGTTGATGATTCCCATGTTGCTCTCAGCTTTTGCCAAATGACTATCCTTAAAGCTCAATTTTCCTTTTCTTTTAACAATTTATTTTTCATTTTCCATTAAATATGGTACCAAAGAGTTTTGTATTCAAAGCTATTCATGATTTGTGATTGTAATTTGTATTTCAACTCTGATATCTAATACCAACGTAATACGCATGCATATTAAACCATACCCAAGCTGTGAAAGTGATCTATTAATATTGCCAGCTTCCTTCAAACGATCTCCTGCTGCACCCGATAATTTCTGTCGTTCTGACCCAGCTAGATCAACAAGATTGATTCTACTTGTTTTAAATATGCTTATCCCATCTGCGGGGCGCTGTGAAGTGAAAATACGTACGGTTAGAGAAATATAAAGCTGTAAATGTAAGCTCACCCAATAACATAAGCTTTTAGGTTGAATTGTTTATTATGGTTAGTATCAAAGCCTCAGTGACTCAAGTAATCACGAATTCGATCCTCACCGTTCCTAATAAATTAATAAATAATTAAGTATTGTGGAATTTTTTAGCATGAATAAATGAGTATATATTATATACCCTTTAAACCCAATGTGCTTTCGTATAAGGAGGCGTGTTAGAAAAATATAAAACTATTAATATAGTCTCACTCAATTGGTCGAATTGGTTCTTTACGTGAAACTACTTCAATACCTCTTCTATTTAAAGCTCTGTTGTCAGGCAAGGAAATATCTTCCCAACAACAAAGTAAAAGCTCAAGATTGCTAGATTTCATATTCCGATATAGCATATCGTTTCTTGTAAAATTTATCTAGAAAGACCATAAACTGTCTGGATTTCCTATCTACATACAACCCGTAATACAATTTCACTAATAGTATTAAAGTTTATATTATTCATCAATCTCCAGGCCACAAAGAGTAGAGTGCATCACCTTGCATCGAGATTTAACAACACAAGTAAAAACTGTATGTGAACGGGAACTTTCAGAATTCATACTAGTGGCACCTACTCTCCTGTTTGACAGGCCCTGCATAATAAATGGTAGATAATAGTAAAAACACATAAAGGAGAAAAGCACGCAGGCAAAACATGGCAACTATGAAATGTGGAGCCCAAAAGTATATAAGTAAACAAAAAAGATTAAAAAAAAAAAATTATCAATAAAATCAAAAGCTAAAACTCAATAGTTTCTGACATAAAGCAAGGTCAAATGCCATAAAAAAAAAAACCTCAAGTCAGCCTGGTAGCTAAGCTTTTCGTTCCTCTTAATGATTAAATCAATTAAGCCTTTAATCATTTTTGCCTAAATGAACTTTTCTGTCTTTACAAGTCATATATGCTCAAAATGAAGCCCTGCCAACATTTCTTACAAAAATACTTCTATTTATAGAAAACAAATTAATGAATAATCATCATTCAGTGCCAATTTCAAAGATGACAAGTTTAGTTGAAACACGGGTACTCAAGTTAGGACGTGTTCTGGACTAGTCTCACCTCCCTGTCCCATAGACGCCCTTAGATGCCCATTCAAGGGATCACTTCCCTGCTTCCCCAAAGTGAAACTGATAGGACTCTCTAATCTACCATAGGTAACATCACACAGAATCAACACAAGGGTATGACTCAGTAGGAAAGGGGAATATTCTAGAGAGGAATTGATTGGATGGAAATACGGTTAGAGGAGAGAGAGAATCAAATACTGAGTTGGCAGTGGGGGGCAACTGAAAGGTTAAAAGAGAAGAAAAGCGTGAAGGTAGGGAGGCTAGGAATTGGAGACTAAATGCGGCCGGAAACCAGAGTAGGAGAGACCTCTGGATCCTCTCGAATTGCTCCTGAACTATTCTATAATACCCCCTCTTCAGCCATTGAAGAGGCATTTTACGTCCTACATTTCGAGTTGTTTCTCTTCTGAAATATAGAGTCACTGTGTCTTTTCACTATCCAACCTCTCTCAGCCTTTGCCTGAGATATTCGCGGTGACTTCTCTGTAGAGCTTTGGTCCTTACAACTTCATCTAAGAGCGCTGTTACATTGAAATACTTCACCCTATCAAGGGAAACAAACCTAAGCTCCACACTAGACAGTTCACGATGTACAATATATGATCCCTAAATGTTCCTTATTATTGTTCATTTTATATTTAAGTGAAAGAGAATTAAGAACAGATACTTCATCCTATTGATTAATGGGTTCTTGACACTTGACACTCAAAATGTTAGAAAACAAAAACTGGGTATTCATCATAGCATAGTTGCTGATGCAACAAGGATGCTAGGTCATGCTACCAGAGAATGTTGCCAGTACTTCTACAAATTTCTGATATTTAAGCACCTGATTCTCTAATGCAACAACAATGTATTATTCAAATCTTTGTCTTTCTATTACCTTTGTTGCCTCTTTTCTGATGGAAGAAATAAAAACAAATTTGTCCTTGATAAATACTTTTTGGATTCTATTTGAATCCTTTAAAAAAAGAAGAAGAAGATATTCTTTTTATAGACTTTTACTCATAATAATAGAATGGTTTAATGTAAATAGGCAATGGAGATGGAAGAGGGAAGCCCCAACTGTCTAATATAATTGACCATATTAAATTCCAATGGAATCACCACCTAAAACAAAACCACAGAAAAATCAAATAAATACATCCGACAATGACAAAGTGTTAATCATTTTGTTTCTCATACGCAGTTATCTGTGTAAGCAAAACAAAATGGAATGGAGTGGTTTAATAGCTAAATCGGAAATGACAATATGTGAATCATGTTTTGCACACAGAGGTATCTGACATGAATTGTGGCAACTTCCCCCCAATTAGTATCAGGAAAAAATGAATATAAAAGGCATCCTACAGGATCAACATTGTATTACAGATCTATCTCATTGAAATAAAAATAAGATAAGCATTTCATAGGTATTCCTATAGAAATTTGTTTTGAGATTCTTTATTCTTCCAGAAATTTAATGAGAAAAAAAAATGACATTCAAATCTAAATTTAAACAATTGACACAAAATCATTTAATTTGCCAACATTAAAAAATGAACAATATGAATATTTTCCATTCAAGTAAGTGTTCATGCTTCAGAGCATCAAAAGTTAAGCTGCTGCAGAACAGCAATCTAAGACTATTTCTACAAAGCCTCATCAGGTCATAATTGAAAGAAAACATTTGTGTTAATACAAGATGAAGTAGACCTTGATCAAAAGGCGAGTCACATCCTTCATTGTACACACATGCTCCTCTGTAAGATTTTCAACATACACACCAGATTTGACATCTTCTCTAATCTGGATAAACAACAAAAGAGCAGTTCCAGTATAAACCAGTAAAACATGAATGAGGGAAAACTACAGCGGTTTAGATTTTACCTGCAGGTTTCTTTGATTCAGATCTAACAGGTCCATTATTTGCTCATTGTATATCTGCAAAACAAATTTGTGCATCAAGAGGACTAGACAACGAGGTTAAGCAGGACGGAAACATGAAAAGAAATAATTTGCTGTCATTCAATTCAACCTCAAGAAAAGAACAGCGGCACTGATACTGGAGTTGCTTATCAGAATGCTTAGTTTGCTCCTGAGCAGGGAATAAGAGAATAAACATCATTACAAAGTTCGTATAATCATTAAAAAAAAGGACTGTAAAACTTAATGCCTACTTCATTCATGCGAGCAAAGAGTCGCTCAAGCACACGAGGCGTGAGGCCGTGTTGATCTTTTGCAGAATCGTCATCGAACAAAGCATTGGCATGACCCCACATGGTATAAGTCTTTCCACTCCCAGTCTATATGTAAAATTTGAGAATTAATATAACCACGAACAACAAGAGCAACAAAATGGGATGGGATATTTGGAAGAAACCTGCCCATAAGCGAATATGGAACTATTGAATCCAGCCAAGCAATTCTCTACAAGAGGCATCCCAACAAGCTCGAAAATATCAAGCTGGGTAGCATGAGTGTGAGCAACGAAGTCAAATGTGAAATTGTGACCGTTAATGGACAAGGAATCACTGGAAATCCTGTTAACTACAGAATCTCCTTCATCCTTGTCATGGAACAGTGGCCGAATCCTCACAACAACCTATAAGATGAAATATAACACTATAAATTAAAAAATGTAAAATCCTCAATTGTTGAGAAACACTAGGTCTTATCCTCACAACAACCACTAAAGAGAAATATAAAATTATAAATTAAAAAATATATATATGTAAAATTCTCAATCGTTGAGACTTGAGAAACACGAGAATGAAAAAACCTGGATGCCGGTATTGGAGGGAGTTGCGGGAACAGAAATGTCCGGGAGCTTACGCTTGCGAGGGTTTGAGGGAGGCCTTGGGGGAAAGAAGCTCTTCGATGGAAGAGGAAGAGGAAGAGGATGATTCTCCTTATCCTTAAATTTGTATTTGTTGCGAGTGGGTGTGGGTTTCATAGGGAGCTCTGATGAAGAAGGAGTGTCGTGCAAGATTGCTTTTCTTGGTAGCATCAAGTGCTTCATTTCACTTGCACTGGATTGGTTCTAGACAGAGAAAGAAAAGACAGAGAGAGAGAGAGAGACAGAGAATGTAGGGTTTGGGTTGAGAACTGAGAAGAGAGGAAAGGGAAAAATAGGAGATAGAGGGAAAGCCGTTAGGGGAGTTGGGATTTGAATGTTAACACGAGTGCGTCGTGTGAGAAGAAAAAGAGATATCAGAGTAGTTAAATAAATATTTTATAATAGAATTTTATAATTCTCATGTAACATGATAATTAGATTTTATAATAGGATTTTTTTACACACTCTTTAATTTTTTTATTGATATAGATTTTATATATGACTTTTTTTAATATATAGGTCCCACATACTTTTTATCTGACATGAGAATTCATTTATGATGTAACATGAAAATTATAAAACTCTTTATAATATTAAATAAAACTGAAAAGAAAGACAATAAAAAAACTGAAGGGAAATAAACAAAAATGAAAGTAAAGATATTATTTATTAAGAAGTTTTAAAAGATTTTCAAAATAAATATCAACTTTTTTAAATATCTTCTTATAATATTTTGTCGAAAATTTAAAAGAATGAACTGTTTTTAAAATTTTATATGGACTAAGTGGCTGAAAATATTTACAAAATTATACGTTGAAATTTAATATGATTTTTCATAGAAACAAAAAAAAGAGATAATAATAAATCAAATAAGTATGATAATACTCACTTAATATTATAAAATAAAATAAAAACTATAGTTTTGGAAATACTGCAAAATTTCTCGAAATGTATTTTTAAGTTAGTTCACCTAACTTTATATACGTCAACTACTAATTTAAGTGCGCATAATCAATAACTTTAAATAATATAACATTTGAACTGACGCAGTGTGAAATCTCGGGTTAAACCAATTGAGTCGGTCAATATGGTTCCAATAATACCAAAATTTGTAAAGTATGATAAGGAAAAGTAGGATTAAATATCACTATCAAGAAGAATATTGGATTCAAATTGTATATTAATAAGTTATTTACAAATATTTTGCTAATCTTGTAATATGGCATTACTTTTTCTTTCATAAAAAGCAAATTTATTCCATGAAAACTGCTTACATTAAAATTGGAGATCCAAAAGTCTCCGAAGCTAATGCCTAATTTGTACAACTTTAATTTGTAAGCTTCATGCTTAGCATTCAACTTCTTATTCTTCTTCTTTCATACCAACCCTAATTACTTTTTTAAGCGAGTCGGCCCACTGGTATCTCCACAAATTTTGATTATTTGAGCCGGCTATGAGACTAATAACGAGTCGAAGCTTAGTCACAATTAAAGCTCTTCGTATCTCCCTAAAGATGTAATTAGTGGGAATCGAACTCAAGTTAAGAAATTACAACCAATGCCTAATTTCATTAACATTGTTTGCTTTGATATACTTAAAATGTCTAATACTCAAATATCTAACACTTGCCGAAATACTTTTGTACACATAGATTACTTGAAGAATTGGTTCCCCTAATCATCATCCTTCTGAATTATACAAATGATTTAAGCTTATTGATCGGTCCAACAGAAATTGGGTTGGGTCTGATCACATACGATTAAAGGTGAAGGATTTTGATGTAGATAAGGGTTGATGACGAGATGTTAGGCTGCTTAGTGATATGGTAGATTCGTGAGTTTGATCTTTAAGCAGTTTTGAGGAGACTGGGGGTACCTGCAAGGCACTTTAACGCTCAAGTTAGTTCAGTATTTAATATAGTTCAAATATTCAAAGAGAGATATCTTACGTGGGCTAAACGCCACTGTATTTATAATGTAAAAATGTCTTACCTCATGCCGCCTTTCAACGGCAGTGTTAATTATCATTGGTGGATGTTCTGAATCTAATGTACGTGAGATGAATGATATAAGAACCCGCACCGTTAATTAAGGATTTTAATTAATTAATTATGCAAAATTAGGAAATGATTCCATAATTGACCTTAACAATTATTACGAGGCTTTAATAATTATAGTAAGTGAGTAAGAATGCTGAAAGTCGCTTTTCGGTAGAAAAGTGCAGATACCGGCTCTGCTAGTCGGTATAAATGCGTACCAAAAAAGTATCCCGAAAAATTAAAGTAAGTGCATGATAATTACTAGAATAATATGTAGGACTTGTAAAACGATTTTCAAGTCCAAATAATGAGAACTGGTGCTAGAAACTGGTACTGACTTTGAAAAGCGCATACCGAAAAGGTGCTCCGAAAATTATAAGAAAAATATGATAATTCTTGTAAAATTGAGTAGGTTAAGAATCCAGAGTTTGAGATTAAAATGTTAAGCATAGCAATTAAAGTTAATATTGTGTGTGTTAATGGAAAGCGGCTATAAATACCCTTATTAAGGGCACTTTGCCCTAGAAAACTGACTCATGCGTGAGTGTTAGGAGGCTGGTCAGCTGTTGGTTGCTTGCCTCTGGTTTCTCCTCCATTTGTGAGCCAAGTTACCACCTTTGCTCCATTTCTTCTCCTCTTTGAGTGAGTAAACACTTGGGTGAGTGCCTTGGGAGGTTGAGGTCCCATCTTCTGAGTTGTGGGAACTGTCTTGAGTCAAGGTTTGAGGATGAGTTCTTGCATTGGTGTAGTTGGGGCTTTGTGTTGGTTGTGGGAGCTTCAAGGAGTGAACTTTTGTGTGAAAGGATCACTCTTGATCACCATTTTCGTGTGCCTTGAAGGTCAGACCTGTAGAGGCAGATTTGAGAGCTCCACGAGCCTTTCTTCCTCTGTTTTGAGCTTTGGTGAGTTGTACCAACCTTGATAATGTGTTTTGTTGATTAAAAAAGGTGTCTTTGCATGTTTAAAGAGTTAATCAAGTAACCAACAGTGGTATGACCCTTAAACAGTATAAAGATGCATGCTTTAACGTTTGAAAGTGTTAAAAATGGAACCTTGGAAGGATATCTTCACGAAATGCAGTTTCTGCATTCTGTCGTGAAATATCCGGATATGTGCCCGAGAAATATCCGAATATGGGATTTGGATATCCGGATATTGGATATCCGGATACGGGAATCTGGATATCCGGATATTGTATATCCGGATATGTACAGTGAGATATCCGGATATTGAATATCCGGATATTGAATATCCGGATATTCTGGGATTTCGAAGAACAGTAGCTGTGCTGTGTGTACAGTAGGCTATTGGGGGTTTGTGGACCCTAGTTTGATGAAGTTGAACTTCTGTAATTAATGAACTAAGTCAGAATCAAGTGATTAAGGGCTTATGGCTTGGTATGGAACCTTAAGACGTAAAACGTAAAGGAAAGACGTTGTCTTTAAGTTATATGCTTGTGGTGCATTATTATTGATATAGTATTGGTCCATAACAGATTGTGAATATGTTGTGTTTGGACTTTGTGCTGTGGACTCTTGGCTTTGGGTGTTAGCTTGCAAGGTAAGCTTTCGTATCCTCGGTTTAGCCATGTTGTGGTTCCACCATGTCCCATGGGGGTGTGGTTATATGCATGTTGTGTTACATGCTTTGAATATTCGAAATGCTGTTGAGCTTTATGTGTAATGGCTTTTAATATGCATGTGTTGTTTCATCCTGACGGTAAGCCTGAGTATGTGGCGTCATACGATATGGCGGTCCGGGGTGAATGCAAGTGGCGTCTTGCACTATGTGTGGATATTTGGCGTATATAAATCCTGCATTTCTCTTGCCAGTAGAATAGAATTGACACACATGACATGATTATCTGCTGCATTGCACTGTTTTAGAAATGATATTGATGAACTGCTTTTAAACTTATATTGCACATGTAAGTGAGCTTGGGGTGGAAGATCCTTGAGGACCCCTTGCCTTACTGAGATTTCTTGTTTAGAGATCTCACCCCACGTTTGGAGAATGCTTATTTCAGGTTCAGGTAGTATGGTGACTGATGCCTCTGGCGGTAGGAGGCCAGAGCTTAGCTGATTATGATATTACTGCTTATTTGCTAGCATGACTGGATTGGATGTTGTTTATGTTTTCCGCACTATTATATGTTGTTCATGTTGAGACTTATGTTGGGTTTTGTTGCCTTATTTGGGTGAGCATGGGAGTTGTCCATGCCACTATGTCGTTAGTACTTTTGAGTTTGGTTGTATAAACTGATAGTTGGTTTCGGTCTACGTGTTGTAGTTCTGTGACTAGAGCCATACATTATGTTATCTTATTTAACGAGGTATTTCAGTTAGCTGTTTTAGTGCATTACACACAGGCGATGTTTTATTAATTGATTAATAAGCAAGTTGGTAATGATAATGACATCATAATCAAAAAGAAAAAGATATTCCGCATTTTTAATTAAGCGCTGCTTAATACGATAGTATGATAATATTATCGGATATATACGGGGTGTTACATTTATGGTATCAGAGCAATGGTTCGAGGGAAAAGCTTGTATGTATTACAATAGTTAGGATGTTTGGTTGTGTCTGTCCTGTGTGTTTACTCCGTCGAATTTTATTATGATAATGCATATGTAATCACATTGCGAGGCCCTGATCAACTCATAAATTGTGTAACTTGTGCGGAGTCATGGTAAGATCCGGGAGACCACGAGAGACTTCTGAGGATCAACCCGATCCTATCCTGACTGCATTGGCTGAGATGCAGGCGGCTAGGGTAGCCGATCAGGAGGCCACTAGATTGGCCAACGCGGCAATGATGGATGTTGTTCGCGAGGTGAACCGGATAGCCGCAGAAGAGGTTCGTGAAGCGAACCGGAGGATCACTGAGGATGTCCTCGAGGCGAACAGGATGGCGAACATGACAATGATGAGAGTCATGTTGGAGAAGATGAGGGCTGGTCCTGCTGCAGGCCAGTTACCACCGCCGCCTCCACCTAGTGTTCAGGATGAGAGCCTGAGTCACATTGGCAGTGCTGCTCATGTCGCTGAGACGAGAGAGACTCTTGTAGAGCCTGCTGAGGATCGTGATGTGATAGATCGCCGGCTAAATGCTTTCAGGAAGCATAAGCCACCGGTGTTTGAAG